CCTGACTTCCTGTTGTCCGTTTCATTTTTCTCATTCAATTTCGAAGAGAAAATATGTCGCATACTGCTTTAATTCATACCTTGTTTAGAGGCCCAACTGCTGTCAGTAGTTCAGTACTAACTCAGTGCCCAACGTCAGGCTGCTATGATACATGTTGGGCCCCTCTCCAAGAGCCGATGTTTACGAGACTGCGAACATGTTAAAACCCCTTTCAACAGGAGTCTGTAAGGTCGCACTTCCACTGTGCATTATGCACAAGATGTGGGCATGATCCGTGTCTTGCTACCGGGATTTTTCAAGTTAGGTATGTATCAATTTTGGACTACCCCTTCTCATTTTTTGTTTCAATACTCAGAACTGCCGTGGAGATAAGCCCTGCAAAATTCTGTCATCATCTGAAAAAATGCGTCATCAAGTGGAGAGGTATGATATATGTGTGCACACCTGAGTCTATGGGCCTGGTGCTGCTTATCTCGAGCACTTCCTCTTCTTCTTCATGAAGTGATGAGTAATCTTTGCCTCTGTTTGTGCTCCGTTGCCTGCAGTTGTGTAATCTAAGTGAATCAGCGACCCCACTTGACCAAGAGGCACTCCCTGTAATTCAACTCTGCATCCTGGCCGTATCTTTTTCAATCGTAGAAGTCCTTTAGTATTGTCTTAGTTACACTTACTTGCGCCATTGCCCGCTTTTATCAATAGAATTTTTTCATTTTTTTTTCCCAGGAAATTTCAAACTTTTGCAGCAGTAGACTATCAACCCATAACTACATAAATTATCGTACACAAGCTCTCCTTAGAATTTTTCAATCCAAATATCTACTCAGAACTATCATTTTGAAAGTTGGTTTTTAAGTAGGTAAGCCTATTTATTTTTTAATCATGTACCTATTTACTTTATTAGCCAAAATTATTAAGTGCATAGTAACTTTTATGGCTGTTTAGTCTAATTGAAAGGGGTATTGAATTTATCTGTCATACAAAGTTAATAAAAAAAAAGACTTGGGTAGGAAATTATTAAAATGATAAAGATTATTACTTCAAGTAAAAGACAAACATTTTTTGCGTCTGTAAATCTAATGCGTATAAAAAGACAAATTGCACAAAAGACCTATTTTGTAGTTGTAGTACGAGGGTCATCCAAAAAGTAAGGTTCCCTACCTTGTATCTTCCGAACAAAAAGAGATAAATCAAATCGGTAAAAACGTACATATTAGGCATACTCTAAGCTTTAAAACAAGCTCAAGTTTTTGAAAATCGGTTGAGGACTTCACGAGAAAACTCAATTTTACTGAGGCGACCTCCCGTCGTCGCGTGCCCACCTCCGAGGTCAGGATGCGCGGAGAGTCCCTTACTTCAGACTCGGCTTATCGCCTCTAAACATCAAATCGAAAAGGAATTTAAAAGATTTTATCAAGTAGGCCTTACCTTACTTTTTGAGATAGTCTCCGTATCTTTTTTGACATTTTTGGTATCATTACAGCAGCTCTTTCATGCCTTCCGCGTAAAAGGTCTCGTCTTGGCTCGAAAACCAGTCATTGCCAGCGATCTGCACTTCCAAATCAGTTGCTTACCGTGGTAAAATTTTTCCCCAATCCTCCGTACTCTCTTAATCTAGCCTCAGAAGACTTTCGTCTATTCCTGAGACAAAAAACTCTCACTGTAGAAAGCAATTTCCAACCGATTTAGAGGTGCAGATCGCTGGCAATGACTGGTTTTCGAGCCAAGACGAGACCTTTCACGCGGAAGGCATGAAAGAGCTGCTGTAATGATACCAGAAATGTCAAAAAAGATGCGGAGATTATCTCAAAAAGTAAGGTAAGGCCTATTTGATAAAATCTTTTAAATTCCTTTTCGATTTGATGTTTAGAGGCGATAAGCCGAGTCTGAAGTAAGGGACTCTCCGCGCATCCTGACCTCGGAGGTGGGCACGCGACGACGGGAGGTCGCCTCAGTAAAATTGAGTTTTCTCGCAAAGTCCTCAACCGATTTTCAAAAACTTGAGCTTGTTTTAAAGCTTAGAGTATGCCTAATATGTACGTTTTTACCGATTTGATTTATCTCTTTTCGTTCGGAAGATACAAGGTAGGGAACCTTACTTTTTGGATGACCCTCGTAAATGTATAAAGATAAGTTCAACAAGTTGTAATTACTTGCTGATAAAGGTACCTATTTCTGTTACTTTAATTTCAAATTGCATACAGATTCCTGCAGAAACCAACCATTTCTTAACTTTCATCAGAACTTTCACAAAATATGTAACGCTCCAGAGGGGGAGGGGGGGAAGGATAGCGTAACACCATTTTATGTTCAGCTTCATGTTAAAAATTGCCCGGAATGGCAAGAATAGTTTTTGTTTTTCTACCAAAAAATGTTAAAAGTTAGAGGGAAACGCCTGTGTAAATTCTATGACTTGACGTGTTTTTAGCATTTTTTAAGGTAAAGAAGAAGATGTATGGTTTTAAAAACACTGTAATCACATAGGTTCCTTTCTGTTGAATGCAATCTATTTAATGGTGAGACATACTCAAAGTATTTTGGTTACACTATGACTGTTTTCTGGTGTTCCTTAGTCACATTCATAAAATCCATTAAGGATTCAGCCTGCCCTCCCACTTTTTAATGAGCCTTGTAACTTTAAAAACCTTTTATTTTCCTTTAATTTTCAAATTCCTGATGATGAATTATTTTTCTCTAATTTCTTAGGAAGTGAAATCTGGACCTCTGCCTTTTTTGTATTTTAAAATATCCAATTAACTCTGACTGTATAAATGATACCAGGCTCATGGATTTTTGGACTTGTGCCCTTCTGGCATCTCTCGTCTCAACTCTTGTTGTTCTTGTGTTCAGAAATTATTCACCGAGCTAGATTTTTTTTGTGTAAATGAGATTCTTCTCCGACCACATGAGCCTCATGCGTGTCTTATTTTTTTAGGTGTTGTGGGGTTCCTGAATTGTCAGAAGCAGGACAAAACATACTTTGTACAGCCTAAGGAGAACTGCGGATGGTTGAAGACTGATTTTTGTTATCATATAAGCTTGTTCACTTGTCTCATCTTCGTTTCTTCACAAAAAGGCTTCAAAAAGTCTGATGTGAGAAAATTGCTGACAACATGTAAGTTTATTACTATTTTTACCGTGAAGTTGTATAATATATCTTAAAAAAATTTTAAGAGATACTCAGCCTGTAAGACTGAAGAATAATGGACCTCTAGACAAGGTACGAAGTAAAGCATTCTGATACATGTTTCATAACCAAAACTGCACGTAGAATTTGATTCTTGCAACAAAAATTACTGAAATTAACTCCTAGCCAAGAAATTTAATGTTTCTTGACGCATGAATTCAAACCTTCCGTTCATAAAAACGCAATTTTCTACTTTAGTCAAATCGTGCACTAAAAGTTGCCAGAGAAGTCTAAGCAATATGAAAAGGTAGCATCTCGATTTCAGTGCTTTGGCTTAACTGTTGTTGGCTGTTAATATTTTGAAGGGCACAAGGTGGAAAAGTAACATTGTTTGATTAAAAAGCCCGCCACTATTGTTGTAGCGCAATTTGACTCAAGCAAAGTATTGCGTTTCTTGTGACCGGGCTATTCAAATTTCCCGCTGTCAAGGTAAAATAAAAACGTTAATATCTCATGCAGTCTATTCTGTTAGGAGTTGATTTCAGTAATTTTCAATGCAAGAACCATGTTCTACGTGAAATTCTGGTTAAAAATATGTATCAGAATGCTTAGATTTGCACCTTGTCTAGATGTCCATTATTTAGTCACTTAATTTTTAGTTGAAATCGACTTGACCATTCCAATGCTTGCTAAGAGAGGGTCCACACTCCACAGTTCACCCCCACTGTCGCCTCTCAATAAACCAAAAGTTTGTGGCAGAAAACGTCAAGGTATATGTTTGCTATCTCTCGCTTCTATTTATTTTTCTTTAGTTCAGCTCAACTTTCTGTGTTCAAGTAAAATCAGTAGTCAAAGGTTGCTGGCAGCGACCAGGGAAAGTCAGAGAATTCAATTTGTTAACGTTTAGCAGAAGTGAGTGTAATTGAAGAGGTAAAAATCAAAGTGCAAGTTTTATTCATTTGTCAGGAAAAAGCAATATAAATTAGAGAAAAGTCAAGAAATCTAAAAATGAAGAAATAATGGTAATCATGGTGGTCTCAACAATCCCAAAGTAAATCACAATTTATATTTGCTAATTTTATCATTTCATGTTATGGTATATTTTGCTCATTTTTATTGAATCAACCCTATTTGCTCTCTTTTATTTTGTTCCAGAAGATTGTACCATCTACCTGAACTTAATCTCCAGATCTCTATTTAGTCATTAACTGTTTTAACGAAACCCACCAACTTAATCTAGTTCAAAACTAGTTTATCGAATGTAAGTCACGACTACTTTTTTCTTTTAGTCTAGAACCCGTCCCTGCCTAAAAGCTGGGTTGTATTATTTATTAAATTCAATTTGTTTAAAGTCATAAAGTACGCCTGTATCTCTGCTAATATTTTGTGATACCTGCATTTTGTTAATTTTTACTTGAGATCTCTGTGATAGTTTGTGATACCTGTATCATTGCCCCTATATACTTGCAAACAATTCTTTTTCACAATTTATTTTTCAGAATTTAATTCTGAAGAAACCTATACAAACATATGATATTAGGCCATTTTTTCAGCCTCTATTTGTCCTGGTAGACACAAACAGAAGTATCCACTTTTATGTTTGGTCAAAAGTCATTAAAAAGTCATTGTCTGATTAACCCAATAATGGCCGACATAGTTAATGCTTTATTTGAGGCAGTTGAGACTGATGATTTTCAGCGTGTCAAGTGCTTTGTCCACACCAAAGGTGTTAATGTTAATTTATTTAACGCATGTTGCAAAACCTTGCTCCATATTGCAGCTGAAAAAGGGTATGTAGACGCACAATGCCAAGACTTATGACGGCCACCTACCTTTAGAACTTGCACAAAATTGTGCCATGAAACAACTGTTAACAATGATAAATGAACTTTTTAAAGCTGTAAGAGAAGGTAATCTAGAACGAGTCGTTGAGTACATTTCCAAGGAAGAATCGATCATGAATGCTGTGGAAAGTGATGGTAGAAATCTATTACATTATTCCATCGCGAATGACCGCAGAGATGTAGCAACATTTCTCTTGGAAAGTGGTATTGATGTGACACGAAGTGCCAGTGACGGAAGCACAGTACTTCGTCTTGCCGTCTCTAAAAGTGACGAGGAATAGGTGAATGCTATTTTGAACCATGCTAATAACACAAGTGGACTGATCTCTCTCATAAAAGCTAAAAAACCTAACGGAATCACAGCTCTTTATATTGCTGCCAAAAGTTGTTCGTCAGTTATCACAAAAACTTTGCTTAAAAATGGTGCGGCTTTTCATGTTCAAAATAAAAACAACTTGAAACCTGTAGATTTTTCTGCAAATGAGGCAGTCACCTGTTTCCTCATGCTTGTTGAAGAAGTGTTTAAGTTTGCCGAGAAGAAAGGTGAAGAAATCCCTGAAAGATGGGAAACAATGAATGCTGGTGATTTCTATATTTTGTCAAAAGTTCGTAATAGTTATGGGCACACATTAGCAGATATTATAAACCTTATCGAGAGTGGCAGTGCTGTTAAAAAATTATTTGATCTACGGGCCTCTAAAGAAAAACAACTTGTTTTGCAGAATCGATGCCTAAATTCTCGGAACATGAACTGCGTTGAAGAGAGCTTTGAAGATATCGACATTGGATGTGGATTATTATTTGACTGAAAAAAAAAAAAAAATTGTATCACTTTGGTACTTTGCAACTTCGTTTCTATCAGTAGGGTTCTTGCCATTGTCATGCAGATGTATGATTAGTTTAAAGCTCTATTCAATATATCTTGAGCGAATCTCAGAGCTTTGAAATGCCTGTAAAAGAACAGAATTTTGATTTGTTTAAATTTCAGAGATTTTAATTTTTGGGAAGTGGGACATTCGGTCCACTTGTGAGACGTTATTTTCACCGAATCTATTAAAACAGGGTTGCCATAGTTAGGGAAAAGAGGGAATTCAAGAAATGTCTTGAAATTATAAAAATTCAAAGAAAACCGAGAAATGTTAGGAAAAAGTGTTAAAGCACCCTCATTTGCAATTTAGAGTGTGCATGAACAACAAATGCGAAATCATTCGAAACTATCTGAAAACTACTTCTAATCATGAATTTTTAACTATCCTTCAAACGTCAGGGAATTTCATTTTCTATATTCTGTGGCAGCCCTTATTAAAACAAGAGGGTTGTTCATGAGCCTACTTTGATTCTCCCCTGAAACCGACATGATAGTGCATGAAGAAGACGAGTCTTAATTGAGAAAAATCGTGTTTCTTCTGTGTTCCTTTCTTTAATTGACTCAATATGCGGAATTATAATTTCATGTGAAATTTTTTTTCTTAATTTGAGTCACTAAGTACAGCTTAATCGTTTTTCATCCAAGTGAATTTCAGACTTTTTACACAGTCTGTAGTCAAAAGCTCCCTCAATATTTCAATTAAAACATCATATCATAATAATTGATTTTGTTTTGTTCCAGACGAATACCTACTTTTGCTACTTCTCAACACCTCAACTCATTTTTGGATATAACTTCGAGCATAACTCACTTCTTAACTACCTATAGAGGTACGAACGTTTTTAAAATGTAAAAGTTGCCTTCCGCTCCTCACACAGAGCAGCTCCAAAATTTCTGTGTGATTCACGGATTTCCATTTTTCAAGGCTGTATTTATGTAACTTGACAATAGGTGTAGAAGCTCAAGTCTTCATTTTGTTATTAGTTCCTGTTATTCATCTGATTACTAGCTTTTGCATCAAAGTCAATTCTGAGTTTTAGAATTCTTTACAAGACTGATTTTTCTGTAGAATTTATTTAGTATTTAAAATTTCTTCTCAACGAGGTATTATCAACATAATGTCTACCTCCGATTCTCTCTTTTTTGATGCTGTTGAAGACAATAATATAACTACTGTCAAAAATATGATTCAGAACAAAATGGTTGATGTAAACAGTTTCGATTCATTCGGAAAAACTGCTTTACATATTTCAGTCGAAAAAGGATTCGTAGAGTTAACAAAAGAACTTATAGATGCCACATCTGACATTAATGCTCTAGCATCAGATGAAACGACCCCTTTTTCTATAGCTGCTGAGAATGGTAACAGCATATTGATTGAACTACTGTTAGAACAATCGAACCTAGATGTAAGCAGGTCTTATCATGGGAAAACAACGTTACATATAGCATCTGAAAAGGGTCACACTGATGTTTTAAAGGCACTATTAGCAGACCACCGCTGCACACATTACGTCAACATGAAAGACTCATCTGGAAAAACTCCAGTACACATTGCTGTTGAGTACGGTCGAACTAATATCTTATCTAACTTACTGGAGAAAACTCACGATGTTAATGCTGTCGATAAAAATGGCTGCACACCTCTTTGGATTGCAATAGAAAAGAATCAAGAGAAATGTGCGCAAATCTTGCTTGAAGATGAGCGAGTCGATGTTAAAACCCGCCATTTTAGTCAAACACCTTTAGAGCGTGCTCTGAAGGAGAAGAATACAAACATATCCAAGTTAATCATTGACATAGTTGGTGATATTGAAATTAGAGATGAAGACGGATTAAATCCTTTACATCGTGCTGTAGATGAAGGAATGCTAGATGTCGTTGATTACCTGATTAAAAAAGGAGCAAATATCCAAAGTAAAACTAAGAATGGTAACACGCCTTTGCATGTCGCCGCTAGGAGAGGAAATTTAGAAGTAGCTAAATTTCTTGTTAATAATGGGGCTGACATTCATGCAAGGAGTGAAAATTATCACAATTGCACACCACTTCAATGCGCTGTAATGTGCTCAAAACTGGAAGTTGCTAAATTTCTAATTTCTGTGGGCTCGGACATAAATGCTCATTACCCTTGTGCTCATTACTCAATCGATAGAGGAGGAACTCTATTACATTGGGCATCACGGAAAATGGATGAAGAAGAATTAATCAGATTTTTAGTAGAGAACGGAGCAGATGTCAATGCTACTGAGTACGGTGGAAGGACACCTCTATGTTTACTTGTTAAGCACCGTGGTAGTTTTGCCGTGATGAGATACCTCATAGAAAAGGGAGCCACTCTTAACAATGAACGAGGTGGCACACCACTGTATTGGGCTTTTTCTGTTGATTATTATGGAGATCCAAAGGCAGCCGATTTTCTCATAGAAATGGGAACTGATGTCAACAGCTGTATTGACTACCATGGATATGAGTGGGATCAAATGAGAAGTGCTTTACACTTGGCCAGACATTTATCTACTGTGAATCTCCTCATAGATAAAGGCGCAAATGTCAATGCAATGGACAAGTCGCTAAATACACCTTTGCACTTAGCGCGAACTCCCTCCATAGCAAAATGTCTCCTAGAACACGGAGCAAAAGTCAATGCTTCAAACATATTAGGGGATACACCTTTGCATTTTGTTCAGAATTTCCACACAGCAAAAATTCTCATAGAAAAAGGTGGAAATGTCAATGCATCTAATAACGAGGGTTACACACCATTACATACTGCTCGGAACACAGCCATCGCAAAACTGCTCTTAGACAATGGCGCAGAACTGAAGGCGGTTACTAAAGATGGCAAAACTGTTGTACACACAAGTGCTGAAGTTGATGTATTTTCACACTCACAATATTTAGATGTGCCTGAGGTAGTAGAATTTTTTTTGCAGAAGGGTATAGATGTTAATGTTACTGACAACAGTGGTAATACACCTTTGCACTGTTGCGGAACATCTGACAACATTCAAGTTGCTGCGGTACTTATAGAGAAAGGAGCTAACACCAGAGCACTGAACAAATCGAATAAGACACCTGTAGAGTGTGCCCAATTTTTTTACTCTGGCGGTGGTGCATTTTGCAGAATGCTTCATACAATCGATAAAATATTTACTGCGATCATTGACAATGAGGGCATTAAGAGAATAAGACGCTTGCTTCGAGAAGTGAAAACTATCAACCTGACTCAAGATGATAGTAAACTCACTCCTTTACACTATGCAGTAAAACAAAATAATAAAAAGATGGTACAATTTCTTCTACAAGAAAAAATTACTCAAAAAAACACAAGTAGAACTTTCCTTGGGCGACCGTTTAAGGGTGAAGGAACTTCAAGGTCCTGTGATCTTTACACCGCTAGTATTTTGGATAAAATCAATGTAAATCCTCGCTGCAAGAATAACTGGACACCTTTGCATTATGCTGCTATAGGAGATGACCCAGAGAGCGTAACACTACTCCTTCAATGCGGGGCAGCATATGAAGCTAAGACAAACAAGGGTAAGAGACCCTTGGATCTAACAGAGTGCAATTCTATCAAAGAAATTTTGATAATGGTAGGCGAACTTTTTGAAGCTGTAAAAAAAGGAAAACAAGAACTCGTCAGTGAGCTTGTAAAAAAGAATTATGGTATCGTAAATGCTGTTGACAGTAATGGTTACAGTCCTTTATACTTTGCTGTAAGTAATGCCTTCAAAGACATAACTTCATTGCTTTTAGAAAACGGTGCAAATGTGGCTCAAGTAACCAATTCAGGTAGCACACTACTTCATATAGCTGCTGCGAAGGGTGATGCGGAATTAACAGATACTATCTTCAAACACGCCAAGGAGAATGGAAGGTTAAATGTTTTTGTAAATTCCGAAGAAGAAAAAGGGACTACTGCGCTTCATATAGCTGCGCAGAACAGTTCGGTGAAAATTACGAAGGCTCTTCTAAAACACGGCGCAACTTATAACGCCAGAAATGAAGAAAATAAGAGACCACTTGATCTCTCCAGAAGTGAGGATATTACAAATATACTGGACTTAACAGAAGAGTTGTTTGTAGCTGCCGTAGAAAGTAGTGAGGAAGTCCTAAGTAGACTGGACACTCTGGAACTTGATGATTTTCTTGCAGTCACAAATACCTGTGATTATTATGGACAAACTCTTGTGAATATCATTGAGAATAATGCGCAACCATCGGTTACTCGTAAGTTATCAGAAATGATGAAGTTGAAGGAAAGAGAACACTTGTTACGGACCAACCCATGTCACTATTCCCGGAACCCCTGTCACTCAGAGGAAGGACTTGAGGACTTGGATTTAGGTTTTGGATTATTTGATTAAGGAAAAGGTCCTCTGCATTTACTCAGAAACCACCTTCCTCTGCCAACTTTTTTAATCAAAGCCATCGTTTCATTTTTAAAAAATGTAATTAAACGTATCTGCCGAGATGAGATTTTTGTTTACTATTTATTTGTGATTTAAAAGCATTTTGTGCATCCTGAACGCATCATCAATTGTTAAAAACAAACAGATTCATAGACAGATTACAGAACAAACCATGTCAGTGGGTTATTCTGTCTGTTTTAACTACTGATGATTTGTTCAGAAAACTCGAAATACATGTAATCCACAGATAAATTGGACTGCATCTCTCAATTTGGAACTACCATTTCTGACTCACAGTTTTAGAAACAACATAAGCACCAATAGTTTCCCTATGCACATGAGTGTTTATACAAATGGGACAGAAATTATAGTTCTTAATTGCAAAATGTAGCCCAATTGTCAACAAAAATCGCATCTTCATACATGTAATTACTTTTTTAAAAATTACACACACAGATGCAATGGCACTTTCAACACAAACAGTGGCATTTCTTAATGCCAAACTACCTTCCTTTTATAAAAGAGTTCTGAGCGTACTGATCATTTGGGATGCTCATACACTCACTCAAGGTTGCCATTTCGTGTGATGGAATCGGGATACCTACTTTACGTGGTATTTAAATGCGTCTGCGTTTATCAGTGTCATTTTTGGTAACAATTTCAAACTTATTTAGCCAAAACACTGTATTTATATTGACAATAAAAAATGTATCCATACATGCTTATGCATTTCGGGAGTTCTCCTATCTTCAGATTATTTCACAAGCAGAAGATACATGCACTAAACACTATTACATGGTAATGATGCAAGAGTCTATGTAAACAAAGCTTGGAATTTTTTGATCACTGACTGGTGAGGAGCTGGCATTTACGTGGTTACTTTACGCGGGGTTATATGGAGAAAAGTGCTGATTTTTCAGCACAATCTGGTTACTGTTGAACATGAATTGGACGGATTTTACCAAAATCGGCCGAACTACATTAATTTTTGCCTGATTTTCTCTGATGTTTTAGTTTTTCAACAGAAAACTAAGCATCACTTTAAATTGAAATTTTCCCTAGTAGCAGCGTTATATAAAAATTATTTAAAAAAAAAAAAAAAAAAATTCGTCATTAAGTAAGTTGTAAATAACCTGTAAATAAAAATTAAATGATGTTCACATAAAATTTAAGGCCTAGTTTTCATTTTTATCTGCTTGATTAAATCCTCTTTACGTAAAAAATAGGTAATAATTAAGTAAAAAGGAAGAGAACAGGAGGAGTGAATGTCATAATTTCGTTATGATAGATAAATAAATTTTTTGTAAAAAGTACATGAAAATTACTTAAATATTAAGTAAACCGTACCTAATTTTTTTTTTTTTTTTTTTTTTTTTTTTTTTTTTTTTTTTTTTTTTTTTTTACTACTTCAAATAGCCCTCAAGGGATAATCCTACGCTTTAAGTCCCATCCCCCCTCCGTCCCTATGGAACCAGTCCCAGGCAACAATTGTTTGAGACCATCAAACTCGGGTCGCCTGGCCGGGAATCGAACCCGGGACCTCCCGATCATAGAGCAAGCGCTACAACCACTACACCATAGGAGGCCGACGAAATGGTAAGTATTATTTTGATAATATTTTAGGCCTAGTTTCCATTTTCATCTTCTTCATAATTTCTTGTGTAGGTAAAAAATTTGTAATGAATAAATAAAAAGGAAAAGAATAGGAAGAGTTAATGTCATAAATTATTTTTTTCATGTTTTATTCACCTAAAAGTTATTCGGAAAAGACGTAATTTTTTGCTAACATTTCAATTGACATCCATCTAAAAAATATATGAACATAAAAAAATTCTTAAACTTTATATCTTTTCACCCGGATAAATTTGTTTCATTTTTTCAGGTCATATTTACATGAAATTTATTTGGAAATTGCGTAATTTTTACGCTAAAATTTCAATTAATATTGATTTAAAATGTGTATGAATATTACGTAAATTTTTTTAAAAATTTAAAAGTAATTCCTTATATAAATTTCTTTTTTTCCCTATTTTCATTATCTAAAAATTATATGCAAATTAAGTAATCCTTATGCTAATGTTTCAATTAATATTGATTTAAAAATATTATGAATATTATATAAAAAAACTTTAAAATTTATATCTTTTTGCTTACATAAATTATTCCTTTTTTGTATGTTTTTTTTAAATAACATTTACGGTTTTTTTAGTGTCAATAATTCTTCAACAAATTCTTATATAAATATTATGTTTTTTTTATATAATTAACCACTTTATACATTCTTTACATTAACTTTATGTAATTCTTATATAACGCTGCTACTAGGGTTGTGAGTCCCTCTAGACCTCATAATTTAGGATGTGAGAACAACGATCTTTAGCCAAGTGCTCATACAAGAATAGTAGGACACAATTCTATTATCAAATGCAATTTTATTTTGTTCCAGAAGAACAACTGAGCCCGCCACAGTTCAACAGAAAACACTCACTGGGGTATAATTTCTAATATATCAGGCTTCAGAATTACTTGTAGAGGTACCAGCACATCTGAAATGTGATCATTTTCTTTTTTCTCTTTGAGAGTTAGTTGTTCTGAAATTTATAAAAAAGAACAACAAAACTCACATCATATACTAAGTTGTATCAATTTTATTTTATAGCTTCTGATAGCTCAGGGTTTTATTAGTGTAACCAGGTAATATAAGAGTTCATAATTTTGTGTTAATTGGTCCTCTGTATCCATTAAATTATCATTTTCTAATCGGAGCTCTTTTCAAGATTTAAATTACGCTCTTAGGCTCTGCCCTTTTGTGAGAATATACGCATTTAATATCTAAAATTTGCATTCAACGTATTACTTGTAAACGCAAGTTATCATAATGTCTAATTTTGACTCTCCCTTATTTGCTGCTGTAGAGAGCAATAACATATCTTTACTGAGCACCATTATGCAAAATAAAATCATTGACATGAATGAGCTCAATTCATGTGGCAAAACAACACTACACATCGCAGTTGAAAAAGGATTTGTAGAATTAACAAAAAAGCTCATAGAAGTGAATTCTAATATTAATGCACTGACGCCTGATGAGAAAACACCTCTTGTAATAGCAGCTGAGGGTGGTAATGTTGCATTGGTTAAACTACTATTGGAACAACCTAATTTAGATGTAAGTAGGCTTCAACATGGTAAAACACCTTTACACATAGCTTGTGAAAAAGGTCATACCAACATTGTAAAAGTTCTGTTGGCGGATAATCGCTGCTCACATTATATTAACACATATTTCAATGGGAAAGCCCCAATACACATTGCCTCTGAGTATGGTCAAACGGAAATCCTATCCAATTTACTGGAGAAGGAACTTGATGTCAATGCTGTTGATGACGATGGCTGCACATCACTCTGGATTGCAATAGAAAAGAATCAAGAGAAATGTGCGCAAATCTTGCTCAAAGATGAGAGAGTTGATGTTAAAACCCGCCATTTTAGTCAAACACCTTTAGAGCGTGCTCTGAAGGAGAAGAATACAAACATATCCAAGTTAATCATTGACAGAGTTGGTGATATTGAAATTACTGATGAAGGCGGATTAAATCCTTTACATCGTGCTGTAGATGAAGGAATGCTAGATGTTGTTGATTACCTGATTAAGAAAGGAGCAAATATCCAAAGTAAAACTAAGAATGGTAACACGCCTTTGCACATTGCTGCAATGGATGGGCATACAGAAGTAGCTGAACTTCTTGTAGAAAATGGTGCTGATATCCATGCAAGAAGTGAAAATTATCACAATTGCACACCACTTCAATTCGCTGTAGTATGCTCAAAACTGGAAGTTGCAAAGTTTCTAATTTCTGTGGGCTCGGACATAAATGCTTATTACCCTCATGCTCATTATGCAATGGATAGAGGAGGAACTCTATTACATTGGGCATCACGGAATATTGGCGAAGAAGAATTAATAAGATTTTTAGTAGAGAATGGAGCGGATGTAAATGCCACCGAAAAGGATGGAAGAACACCCCTGTGTTTGCTGGTGAAGCATAATCTTTCTCGTTCTCTTGATACAATGAGGTACCTTATAGAGAAGGGAGCTACTCTTAACAATGCCCGAGGTGGCACCCCGCTCTATTGGGCTATTCGCGAGGATTATGGTGGAGTCGATCCCAAGGCAGCCGATTTTCTCATAGAAATGGGAACTGATGTCAACAGCTGTATTGACTACCATGGATATGAGTGCGATCAAATGAGAACTGCTTTACACTTGGCCAGACATTTATCTACCGTGAATCTCCTCATAGATAAAGGTGCGAATGTCAATGCAATGGACAAGTCACGAAATACACCTTTGCACTCAGCTTGGACCCCATCCATTGCAAAATGCCTCATACAACATGGAGCAGAAGTTAATGCCTCAAACGAATCGGGGGATACACCCCTACATTTTGTACAGAATTTCCACACAGCAAAAATTCTCACCAAGGAAGGTGCAAATGTCAATGCATCTAATAACGAGGGTTGCACACCATTACATACTGCTCGAAACGCAGCCATAGCAAAACTGCTCCTAGAAAAGGGAGCAGAATTGAAGGCAGTCTCGAAGGATGGAAAATCTGTTCTGCACACTGCAGCTGAGGGTGAATTTGAGGGTGTGCCAGGCGTGGTTGAGTTTTTTTTGCAAAACGGTATTGATGTTGATACCGTCGATAACTACGGCAATACTCCTTTGCACCTTTGTGGAATATCCTCCAATATTCCAGCTGCAACCGTATTATTGAATAATGGAGCTAAAATCAATGTACGTAACAAATCAAACAAGAGACCCATAGAGATCGATCGATATCCTGACTCAGTAAATTATCTTCTTAGCAGGAAGCTGAGTGCAGTGGATCAAATTTTTACCGCAGTTATTGATAATGAGGGCATCGAAAAAGTGAAAGGCTTACTTCAAACAGTTGAAGCTGTCAACCTGAAACAAGAAGATAGTCAACTTACTCTTCTACATCATGCTGTGAAGCAAAATAATAAAACAATTCTACGATTTCTTTTACAAGAAAAAATTACCCCAAGAAGCACTAACCGAATTTTCCCTCGACTGTTCAAAAGAGGAGCTCCAAGGAGTGGTGAACCTCACATCTCTCGTATTTTGGAAAAAATTAATGTAAATCCTCCCTGCAAGAATAACTGGACTCCTTTGCATTATGCTGCTAAAGGAGATGACCCAGAGAGCGTAACTCTACTCCTTCAGTGCGGGGCAGCATATGAAGCTAAGACAAAAGAGGGTAAGACACCCTTGGATCTAGCAGAGTGTAACTCCATCAGAGAAATTTTGACAATGGCAGATGAACTTTTTGAAGCTGTGAAAAAAGGGAAACAAGATCTCGTCAGTGAACTCGTAAAAAAGAATAATGGTATTGTAAATGCTGTCGACAGTAATGGTTGCAGTCCTTTATACTTTGCAGTAAGTAATGCCCTCAAAGACATAACATCATTACTTTTAGAAAATGGTGCAAATGTGGCTCAAGTGACCAATTCAGGTAGCACACTACTTCATATAGCTGCTGCGAAGGGTGATGCGGAATTAACAGATACTATCTTCAAACATGCTGAGAAGAATGGCAGAGCAAATGTTTTTGTTAATGCCAAGGGAGAAAATGGAACCACAGCTCTTCATATTGCTGCTCAGAATGGATCAGTAGAGATGACAAAAGCTCTACTGAAACATGGAGCCATGTATAACGCCAGAAACAAAGAAAATAAAAAACCCTCCGATCTCTCAAGGAAGGAGGATGTCACCAGCATTCTAAACTTGGTAGAAGAATCATTCAAAGCTGGGGAAGAAAATACCGTGGAGCTGTTGAGCAGATTACGGGAAATGGAATTTGATGAATTTTTCGCTGTGACAAATGCTCAGGATTATTACGGACAAACCCTACTGGATTATATTCGTAATAATGGGCACCCATTTGCAGGCAGTGAATTTTCAGAAATTAAGAAGTCCAAGGATAGAGAACTTTTGTTGCAGACGAACCCATGTTATTATTCTCAACCCCCTGTTTATTCACAAGAAGAACTTGATGATATAGATTTAGGTTTTGGGTTATTTGATGGTTGATTTTAGGATAGACTCACGATTTCCTCTGAAAATTTCAGTTTTTTAATGTATTTCTTTGATAGAATTTACATGTCATGATCATCAGGGTATTTTCATTGAAAGCAGAATTCCATATTCCGCAAACGTTTTGCAATTTTTTGTATGACATTTTAAATGAAAAGCATTTTTTTGGAGCATTAAGTGCACTTTACGTGTGAGCAATAAACTTCCACCTAATACATGTACTAAACATGGTAATTCAAGTACTAAACATACGGTAATTTGCCAGGACAACATACCTCTTTTAAGTCGATCAACTGACAGATTGCAGATACTCGTAGAAAAGAAATGATTATTCATCTTCTCATCCTAGCAACAGTTCAAGAAGCCATCTGTATGTGNTTTTTTTTTTTTTTTTTTTTTTTTTTTTTTTTTTTTTTTTTTTTTTTTTTACTACTTCAAATAGCCCTCAAGGGATAATCCTACGCTTTAAGTCCCATCCCCCCTCCGTCCCTATGGAACCAGTCCCAGGCAACAATTGTTTGAGACCATCAAACTCGGGTCGCCTGGCCGGGA